ATTGGAGAGGCACAATACCAAGTATTAAGGACTGGTACTGGGAGCTGTGAAGGACTGAAAACTTGGAATAAACAAAGAAAGAGGCACTAGGAGCCAGAAGACTACCGTGAAATAAAATGAAGTAGGACTGCGTGTACACTAGAAATAGCCTTTTAATAAATAATTGACTATTATTTTTTTGTCATGGGATCACTCATCCACAGTGCTGAACGGTCCCGCGCCGGGAATAACTGAAATGCAGTGTTTGCAGGCTCCCGGTTCACTTGCTGCAGAAATTTCTAGGTTTCTAGTTTCTAACGAGCAATGCAAGATGCAGGAAGGAAAACATTGTAGCTGTGAGGGAATTACATCCTGTGCTGCCTCCTGTTAGTAATTCCTGCCTCATGCTGAACAAATACCCGAGACCAAGCTGTTCACAGGTAACACCATGGTATTAGTTTTTCATATGGTTCACACAAAATGTAAACACAAAACACAGCTGCAACAGGTCAATGGAAACTATACTTTCAAAATATGAAGCATGCATTTTATTTTACAGGAAAATAATCGTTCTCTGTTCCAAAGAGCTCAAAATCTCAGAAATTTGCTCTACTTCAAAAGAGATGAACCTTGAGAAAGGGAGCAAAATGTTTTTTGAGTATCTCCCGACCGGATGAGTTGGGTTCCATTGTATGAAGAGATGGTTTTATTCAACTGACACCCAAGTCTTTTAGTGCTGGTAGCACAGGAGCAGGATATTATATACCAGCAAAAATCCAACTTCAAAACAAAAATCCAACCTCCTATTGCAAACAGCTACCATGTCATCTGGAGGCAGCTCACTTCGGAAAGCTGTCAAGATGTGATGTGGGAAGTCTGCCTTGTAGAGAAGAGTTCTCATCTGAATTGCTAAAACCAGTGCTTCCTTATTAGCTCAAACACTTTCGTATTTTAAAAATTGAGGCAACATTACTTTCTTCCCCAAACATCTTTCAAGTGTCCACAAATGTTTTTCCAAAAGAAATGAGACAGCTAAGAGATGGCTTCAACTCGCCCTGCAACCATGATACATTCTGCTTTAAGGCTGCTGGATTAGGTAAACTGTGACTGTTCTAACAAGTCAGAATTTCAGCTCCCGTGACAAAATAATTCAGCTTTATCTTCCAGAAGCAGATATGAACATGTTGTTTTAAGATAGTAAAAAACTTTTTTTGAAAATTCACCCACAACCGAGTCTTGAAAAAGATATCCCCAGAGGGGAAAAAAAAAATATTTGAGGAGAAATAACAGGGGCTGTAAAGCAAGTCTCCAGAGCCTACACATCTTTATGTAGACAGACTTGTAAAGAGGTGGCTTGGTTTTTCAACAGTGAAAGTTCAGTACCATCCATTAACTTTAGTACTGTACCATGTCTTCAAGAAGTCATTACTTCTATAGACTACATCAAGACCAAACAGTTTGGCGGAGCTCAGAGGTTGGACACAATGAAATTTCAGATCCATTGGGAATACGGAGGTGCCCGTGAGCATTTTGTCCAAGTTCTGTTTTGACAGAGTAAATACTTTGCAAAGCAATCTGAACAGAAGTGATGTAATAAGCAAATTTTATGTTACACAAAACATCTCAGCCTAACATTTCTGTGATTTTTCAGTCTCCTGTTAAATAATCAAAGCAAGACTAAATAGCATGAAAAATTACTATTATATTTCAGCTCGGGCATTGCTTTTTAAAAAGCAAAGAAATTGAACAGTTGCAAAAAAAACAGTTCTTATGAAATCTTACTCTTGCATAACACTCATTTGCGTAAACTGTACTGTATAGCGCTGCACTGTATAGCTCAGTACTTGTGCACTATTATTTGTGCCCTCATATATATCCAACAGGCACACGAGCCAATACTTACTCAAAAAAACAACCAATACCTAACTCAACAAAATATCTGTTTCTCTGAGATATTATTGTTGATTTTCCTTGGTCATCAAAACAAACCCCCATAAATTACATAGATCCTTGGTATGCAGGAATGGTTTAGCTGATATATAAAATTCTTCTTTTGCACACACTCCTTCATTTTTCACTCCAGAAAATAATTCCAGGAGTGGCAACAGCGAATGAATTCCCTCTTCAGGCAACAGCTGAAGAACATCAGTGATGTGAACACTTCTACAATGCTCATATAATCTGTCTAAACTGTGATTTGGAGGGGAAGAACCAAGTTCAGTTTTCACTCCTATTCAGTCTTTGACCTCTATGTTAAACAAACAGATGGCAGAGATGGTTATCAGCACCAGCTGTAACTGCTTTAGCAGCATGGACTCCTGTCCAGTAGGAATCAGACTTTGGCTATCAATACTTCTCAAAAAGGCTGCAAACAACTCACACAACGCCGTAAATCTTTGTTATTTCCAGACCAAGCTGGTTTCAAACCAGTGAGCTACCGTCGGAGTTTTCCAATCCCTTTTATCCACTCTGAGGCACGCCCTCACAGCAGATGCGGTGCTTGGGTAAGCCAGGAACTCCAGATGTTAATAGGCGTGGGACACAGAACAGATCCCCAGAAAAGAAAAAAACCAAAAAAGGTAAAATGCATATAGCAATGAAATGAGCAATACTGTGATTAAAAATATCCTGACTATTCTGCTATTCAGTTCTGTGCAATGGGTGCTAGGTTACAACTTCTGGAAACTCACAGCCCAGAGTATGAAAACCCACTTCCATCACCTGCTGTTCAGAAAAAGTAACTACCCATTCAGTGTTGGGCCTCAATTTCCTCACCTGCAAAGCTAAATGTCTCCCTTATCAGAGCAGTGCTAGACGTCTGAAACGTGCAAAGCCGAGGAATGGATATGCCTGTAGTGCAGAGTAAGTGTGATGCTGAGAACCTCAGGCCACTCCGCAGAGCCCGCACCTCCTGGCCCTGTCAGCTGTATTAAATCTTTGGCCTTACACGGTGATAAGTTTGAGGCTTGAAAACTCAAGGATCTGCAAAAAGTAACTACAAAAAGCATCAAGGAATGCAAAAGCCAACTTCCAAAATGGACAAATTCTCATCATAGGTCAACTGGAGGCAGCTACACCAAAGGAAACTTCCATTTACAAGAACACTGTGCTGTAGGCTGGAAAGTTCACTTAATTTGCAGCGCAGCTTAGAATGACTAAACCCCAAGTGATCTTGCACTAGTGTAGGACCTGAAAGCTTTGCCTTAAATACTTAACAGTTATGTAGCACACTTGCTACAGAGAATTAGTTCACCTCAAAAAATCTGTAGGCATATATGGTGAGGGGAAAAAAAAAAACCACAACCAAACCGACATATCTGGTAGATATCATTAAAAAAAGCTAATCAATATCAAGGGTAAGCCATCTTAAAAGGAGTTTTAATCACCAGTGCATTTACCAACAACCAAACACACAAATTAAAGTGTCCGCATTGATTAGCTTTAACTGCAATATGCGTTCTGAGCTTTGGCAATAAATTTTCAAACTAATTCAGAGGCTGCAATAATACATAAATATTTTCTGCTAGCTTAATAGGAATTTTTAAATGTTAAAAGTTTTTTTTAAAAAATTTTTAGAGTGATAAGTATTCTAGATAACATATCTGCAAGGGTTTATTCCTCTCCATATTGACAAAAATCACAACTCAAATCAGCAGTGATGGGGACTCAATCACGGAGTAATGCACTGCTGTATACTACCGTGCTTAATTGTAACGGCACAGTGCACTGTTAATACCTAAATACTATTTCATTTGAATGGTAGAGTCTTAAAAAAAGAAAGTGAAATGAAGAACTATGGGCAATATGTTTAATCTTAAAATAGGGGGAGTATTTCATCAGTTCTGACACAGTTGAACTAAATAAAGCCCTTGTTCATTTGCCTGTGCTCAGATCATAAAATTAACTGTTTTAAAAATGTGTAAGATTCATAAATTTTCAATCAGTGATAAATGTAAACAAGTGAAAAACTGGATAGGTTTTCTTTCACACAGTAGCTATCATAGGTATTACAATTGGGAAAACATTTTAAAATGTGTATTAAAACTGGGAATGTTTTCACAGTGGAGCTACATTTTTTATAATCAGCAACAACATGCCTTTCAATTAAAAGGCAGTGTAAACTGTCCGATCTTCATTGATTTTGGTGGATCTAGGCTGTTCCATAAGAGCTCCAGAATGGGCAGAGACTTACACTATGCTCTAACACACTCCACCAAAAATAAAGAAAACTATAAAGGAAAACACCTCCCATGCATTTCACTCCAAGCATGAGATGTACTGTTACATGTGAGAGAGGTTTTTAAGAGATGTAGGTTAAGAACATTCTAGTACACAGTAAAAAAAAAAAAAAAACCAAAACAAAAAGCAAAAGCAAAAAAAAGGAAAAAAAAAACCCAAAGCCTAACCAACTACCAACATTTGTAAATCCAACAGTCTAGACAGGACCATCATCTTGATGTCTAAAACATCAAAAATCATAGGATCTGCTTCTCGCTCCGTATGTTCTTCCCTCCTCCAGTTTCAGCCTCATCCTTAATTTAACTCCTTCAAACATCCATGCCAGAGAAAGTCAAAACAATAACGTAAAATTCAACAAAATGCAGCAGGTGTTAAGCATATCAATACAGTGCCAGTCTATGTGGCAGGGCATTACGAGCTAAGCCGAATACCAACCACCTCACCCAGACAATGTTCAAATACAAATAACGACTTTAGTCCATTAGTTATTTTATTCATCTGCAACAGTACATTTTGTTTTTCTTATAAAAGGTCTTAACGTTTCACTTTACGTGTACGCCAGGGTATGACATCTAAAAGAAAAGACACACACAAAATCCACGTCCGCCGACTGTTGATCTGTCACAACTGCCAGCATCAAGTACAACAGCATTTAACTTATAGTGAAAAAGCAACATAGATTTTCCCCCTGTATACTCTCTTGGTTTATACATCTATGCTTCCCAGTATGGTTAAATTAGCCTTTCTTGAATAACAGAAATATAAAGCAGGTATTAACTTACCTTACGCCCATCACTCGCATGGCAGTTCACATTCAAAGGAGTCAATAAAGCCATCAGCTTTTCTTCATTACCACTCCTGTAAATGGAGAGGAGAGGATTATAGAAAGGGGGGGAAAAACAGAGCTCTTTGCAAAACATTTGCTAAGATAGATATCAAAGTGTGTATATACATATATACACACACACACATATATATATTAAAATTTGTACTCTGCCATGAAGAATGTCAGATGGCTATTTCAAAACCAAAGGTAAATAAAAAGAACATATAAATAAAAGGAAAATAATATTAAGTTTGCAGTTAAGTGTATTACAAAAGATCATGCAAAAACACCTCTTAAATTCTCTCCTTAATCTCATCTTGTATTTCCTTTATCTAATTTTACAGATCCTCTGAAAGCCATTTGCAAAATTAAATGTTCTGAATTAAATACATTTTCATAGCATATGGCCCACAACATTTGAAATGACTACATGCTAATATCCAAAATTTTTTTAGAAGGGTTAGCAATCTATATAAAATGGTCTTGTGCTGTCAGAAGGAAGGATGAGAGCATCTTTGGAATATACGACTGAACTTTACAGCTTTTCTATAGGCTTCCTTATGTTCTGTTCCAATAAAGCCTATTTTCAAAATATATCCTAAGGTAGCAGTAAAAAACAATAATTAAATTGCCCCTAAAAAGAACAGTCACAAAACGCTAAAGAGGATTTAAGCAGCTTAAAGCAAAAACTCAATATTAACCTTATAACCACCATCGTGAAGGATTTCAATTACATAAACAGGCTTTTCCATTTGTACCAGCCTGTAAAGTCCGAAGAGATTTATGCTAATGAAGTGGTTTGTTTGCATCATTTCATGGAAAGGCAACGACAAAACATTACTGTTTTAAAAATCCCTTTTGCTCGCCTGCTTCCACCCCCAAAATATGCTTTATATTCTAAGCAGCACTCACCTAGCAGCTTCCAGGAGTTCGTCCTTCTTGTATTCACCTAAATGATTGCAAAATATCATGCTGTTAGCATTTGGCAGAAGACAGATTAAGAAATGCAGTAGGAAGCAAATACAGAATTAAAACAGAGAAGAGGAGAAAAAAGCCCACACCCCGCTGGGTGATGGAGCTGTGACGTTAGCCAGCTTGTGGAGGCAGCATCACCAGTACCTTGGAGACGGGCAGCAAATTGACGCATCTTCTTGTCCAATCCTCAGATGGAAAGGCTTTCTTCGGACGACCAATGACTGCGAAATCTTGTGTCCAGAAACACAGTCCCGCTGATAACAGCATGTCAGCTGAAGACAATGTCCCCACCCCCTGCCCTATTCAGTATGTCACATTATACTTGGGAAGCATAATAAATTCAGAGACAAAAGCAAGGCAGTGCGGCTCTTTAAAAGGTACAAATTACTCATCTCCAAAGCTCTCACCTGCCTATTTGAATGGTAATATTAGACTTCACCAAGTTCTTCACAAGAGCAGTGATTATTTCAAAAAATCCAAATGTTATATCATCAGCCACTGTCCAAGAAAATATGCATTTAAAATAAAAAGCACCGACAAAAGAACATGAACTCTCCAAGAGATTTTGTTAGGGGAGACTCTGAGATTAGAGATAACCATGAGTAACATTAAAGCAACATTTACTACATTTGAAATTCTGAGTTACAACAGACAGCTCAGGAGGGTTGTCGCACCACATGATTAAAATTGCATGTGAATATCTTAAAAAGAACACGGAACAAGATGACCTGTGGAAGTAAGATGGTATTCTATAAAGCTGAATCATGACGATATTGTGCAATACAAATGTAAGGGAATTTCAATTCAGAAATTAGAAAAAATAGCTTTTTAGCAACTTTATAAAGTCACAAAGCAGAGTATCCTTAGAGTCAAAAGATGCAGGGCTTGAAAAACATACCGTATACCACCTGCCGTAGAATTAAACCCTATCATCACAACACTGTAAAAACAACAGCAAGATGAAGCTGTCCTGCAAGAAAGAAAAAACCTTCGTGCTGCCTCATACATGCATTTGTAATAAGCCTCCAGTGAAACCCTCATTACAGGTGAGAAAAGCCGGCAGGCCATGGGAAACGCCACAGCAGACTGTAGGCAAACTGGAAGGTTCCTCTGGAAACAATATCCTTCAACAAAGAATTTCTCCAGGCTGGAGGAGGAGGGTTAGCATCTTCATCCATCCCCAACAGCCTGGTACTCCCTCCATCATCATAGCTCCTCCGGTTATCAGCAGAGGGGGACAAGCACCACAACACAGCCAGGCGACTCCGGGGCCCTAAGGAGCCCTGTTGAGTTCAGCATCCTGCCTTCACCCAAGGGTGAGGAAGAGGAGGGCAAGCACACACAGCCAGCACCTCCTGCCCCACCCCACGCTGCAGCAGAGGGATTCTCAGACAAAGGCAGTGTCTGCATCTCATCATACTGGTGAATCTTCCTTTCACAAATGTGTTTAATTGCTTTCTGAAGCACATTCAGCTTTGGGAATTCACAACCTGCAGCACGGCGTTCCACCACGTACGCGACTGCCTCTTGCACAACGGGTCTGTTAACTGAGCGGTTCTGTGTTGCTGAACCCCAGTGATGGAGCAGAGGGGTTCAACCCAACGGTGAAGAACTGGAACTGGCATTTCAAATATATGCCATAAAGGTTAATTTAGCTTTTGGAAGAATTTATACATCCATCTTAACAAAAACAAGTGAAATTACACAAAAATATGTTTGCCTTTGTCTTGTCCGCCACTCTCCAACTTCATCAGAGAGGGTTCCCGTCCACCACAGGCAATCACCTTTTCAAGCCATGCTACATGTGCCTCTTCATTTTTCTTTTAATGAAAATAAAATCCTGGGGACAGTTGTGAATGTTCCAAATCAATGGTGAGTGAAAAGCTCTGGCCAGCATGTGAGAAAGAAAAAAAGGCACTTTATTACTACTGCATTACTTGTGCAACAATCTCAAACAGCTGGATTTCCTGCAGGACAGTTATTGGCCTGTATTATATTAGTGCTTTAGGGATCTAAATCAGATTAAAAGACCTGTTTGCACATTCTGGTTTGGCAGTGCATCTAGGTGTCCTAACCAGCCTTTTGAATACTATTAGGTTAGACAAGCGTAATCACATTTTTCCTTCATGCTCAGTAAGCTGGTACTTTAAAACACAAAAGCCCTTTCCTCAAGTACCTTGATTAGCAAAAGCATTACTGACCAAAAGAAATGGAAGGCTGTGGCTCCTGATTTAGAAATGTTCCACTGTATGCCTGAGTAAATCAGTTACTTTTACTAAGTGGTACTTTTACAAAAAAGGTATTTACAGATACTGCTGAAATTCATATAATCAATTCTTGAAATTCATCACAGCTCTCCTACACTGCGATACAGATTAGGAAAATATTTTCTTGAAATTCTCTTGAAGAGCCATCATATTTTGCAAAGCAACCCCTAAAATTATACAGGCATTTACAGCACACCATCAGGTTTGCTAAAAAAGGCCAAGCGCACTCCGCAGTGCTCTCCTGGCTAGGACCGGGATGAAGGGGAACCCCTGGGCCACTCAATCAAGCAGCTGGTGGGATGCCGCTGAGCCAGGAGAGGGCTGGCTGATGGCATTTGGGAGAAGTGGGTGGCACTGCCTGCATGACCAGCTTCTGCTGGCACAGGCTGTGTTCCCACCAGAGGGCTCTGCCAGCACAGCTAAAGCCGCTTGGCTGCGAAGCATATCAAAGGCCATCCCGCAGCATTTGGCCACAGCTACCTAATAAAACATTCATTTGCAAAGCATTTGAAAACAAACTATGTGTGCTTGTGGCAGAGGTGAATTTCAAGTTCTGAGCTGAAGTACAGGAATACAGACCATCAGCCTCATGTAATATTTCTATTCAAAGTACGGCAAACTGTTTAACTTGAACCAAGCTAATAACATCACTTAAAGAGCTCCTTCAGGCAGGTTAGGACCTATAGTTTTGGGAAAGGGCCATCTGCAGAACAAAGTGCAAGTAAGAGCCTGAATTACTCTTCCAAATCTCTTAGCAGCTGCTAGCTTTGAGAGAAAAACATCCTTCCAATCACAGGGTCAATATAGAGGACTTTTAGCAGCAACATTTTGGATAGCACAAAGCCTTAGCTGCCAGAGCTGTGGAAGTTAATGTTGTGAGACCCTGCCACAGAGCACCAACACCAAAATACAATGATGGACACAATTTTCATCTATTTGCTATCCGGCCTTTCCACCATATCACAGTTCAATCTTTCCTTCTGGTATTTCATGGCAAGCCACAACAACACACAGCCACACTGCCAGACACGTCCTACCACACCAGGTAGGTGAGAACCTTCTCCGTACAAGAGAGCCCAGAGTGACAGCCCAGAACGGCTGCTGTTTCTTGGCCCTGCAGCCCACGAGGAGAACACTAGACTTACCCACCTCCACGTGTTGGGTAGCCCAGAGACAGGCAGCCTGGGAACCTCTGAAGATGAGGACAGAAAGGGTGTGAAATGGGCAGCAGGGTGCTATACCAAAGCAGTATCCCTGTTCCTATCTTGTGAGACAAAAGCTGGTAGGTAAGCAGAAACTGCTCAGCATCTCATGTTCACTGCATCTGATCAAGTTCATTGCTTACAGCTCACTCAGCATCCTTTAAATCCTTACAGTTCTCTACTTGCTCCCAGCTCCAGATCACACCACTGCTGCTCCATTTATGCTGGAACTAGGAGGTCACCACTGGCTTTAATTCAGTAGCAACCTTTAAATTTTAAACTTAATAAAGGAGTCTATGAAACACGACCATCCTACAAGCATGTGTTCAAGACAAAAGAAAAAATCCCCAGTTCCAGAAAAAACTAACTGACCATCCTACAATCATGTGTTCAAGACAAAAGAAAAAAATCCCCAGTTCCAGAAAAAACTAACATAATGAATCAGTCCTACCATGTACTTTACAGACAAATAACCCTGTTGCACACTCTCCCAGAAGTGTTGAAATTTCATCTGACTACTGCAAGCTGAAAAACTTATCTGAATGCATGGCATAAACCAACAGTGCTTTTTCAATGCATCTACACTACGAAACAAGGTGAACGGGGAAAAGATGGATTAATATATTTTCAAACAAACCGAAAAACTAAAGAGGACAAACAACTTGCACATCACATGGAATCACAGGTACAAATTTAAATTCCCAGAGTACTGATAAAGAGTGAAAAAATTTTACACTAGCCAATGGTACCCTGCTTCTGAGATACGTTACAAAAGAATGTGGGCCTGATGAATTTGCAACCGTGGCCACAGGCTGGGGAGGGGAGATTCATGAATATGACAGAGTTGTTGAGGTTGAAGGGACCTCCGGAGGTCCTCCCATCCAACCATTCTATTCAAGCAGGGCCACTTAGAACAGCCTGCCCAGGACCATGTCCAGGCAGCTTTTTAATAGCTTTAAGGATGGAGACTCCACAACCTCCCTGGGCAACCTGTGCCAGAGCTTGGTCCCACTGAGCTTGACTCATTAACATTCCAGGTTGCGATCTCTTCAGGATGTCCTCTCTTGGCAGCTGCAGTCCTAGCAGGATGGGAAGTCAGGGTGAAATCTTGCTCCATTAGAAAACATGGCAGCTGCACATTTGACTTTAATAATGTGCAGACTACAGTCTATTATTGGCTGCCTACCCTGAAAACCTGAACTAACACTTTTGAAAATATACATCCTGTGCTGAGATTGACAAGATATTTGTGAAGAGCCCAGCAGATTTTTTTCAAGTAAGTATTCACAATTATCCAGCAACACAGTGGACATGTGCTCTCTGGCATAGCAGTAGAGACAGTGGCTATCAGAATCTCTCATTTTTTCTCATTTAAGTGTTTCTGATGCTCTTCTAGCACTGGAATGCATGGGGCTGCTGGGAAAACAGCATCAGAGTCCTGATGCAGCAGGGATGCCGAGAACTTGTTTTTTCATCAGATTGATTACTTCATCCAGCCCAGCCCA